GAGAGAGTGTGTGTGTGTGTGTGTGTGTGTGTGTGTGTAATACCTGCTCTGCCAGCCAGCCGATGTGTTTGAGTGTGCAGTGTGTGTTGGCGCTGGGGTTGCTCAGGAAAGAGTTGATGTGGTCCATCGTCTGTGGCAATAGGGCAGCAACATTAGTGTGAATGGCTGTGAACCAGGAGTGAGCAGAGGCCCCGTCTTTACACCGCAGCACCACAGTGTGCTGGCCATCCGTAGAGTGAAGCTCCAGCAGCCTGAAACAAACACAGCATCCCTGAAAATATTCCCCATCCCAGTGCTGTGCTGTAACGCGCTACATAATCAGTATTTCTTGAAAGTTATTCGTGAAAAGTTCATGTTACTTCTTGAATTTACAATATAATACTAGCATTACTTTTTCAAACAAGTAAAGCATTTCTATGTATTTATGTCCCAGTTTTTTTTAATTGGCAGGTACTGTCATATAGTGCTGTCAAACGATTAATCGCATCCAAAATAAAAGTTTTTGTTTACATAATATATGTGTGTACTGTGTATATTTATTATGTATGTATATATATATATATATACATACAGCCTAACTGAGCATTAAATATCAGAAACATCCAAAAAAAAAAAGCATTTACACATGAGCATTAGTGTGTGTATGTGTGTGTGAGTGAGTGAGTGAGTGAGTGTGTGGGAGTGGGTGTGAGTGAGTGAGAGAGAGTGAGAGTGAGAGTGTGAGTGTGAGTGTGAGAGTGAGAGTGAGAGTGAGAGTGAGTGTGAGTGTGAGTGTGAGTGTGTGAGAGAGAGAGAGAGAGAGAGAGAGAGTGAGTGAGTGTGAGTGTGAGTGTGAGTGAGTGAGTGTGTGTGTGACTGTGTGCGACTGTGTTATTGGCCAAAAGAGGCAAAGACTTGGAGCTTTAGGTACAGTCAAATGTTTTGATGATGTTTCGCAGGACTGTGTGCTTGCAGGCATTGGAACGCTTAACATTGAACAGCAAGATCCAAAAGTCACTTTGAAGTCTATGACTTAAAATAAAACATTTGAATTCTTAAATCATATTTAGATGTTTTCTCCATAGTGTCATGAACTGTTCAAACATCTGAAACACTTAGCCAAGTGTGTCATTCATCCTTACAAACAACAACACTGTTCCTTACTGATAACATGCTTGAGCAGAAACACACTTGGCTTGGCTGAGGAATTCAGTTTGGACAGATGAATGTAAATTGTGGTTGCTTGGGTGCCAACAAGACAAAAATAAATACCTGCATTCAAGAGCTGTTCATACTAGGGATGCATCGAAATGAAAAATCTTGGCCGAAGCCGAACAAAATGAAACACTGGGCCGAAGGCCGTATACGCTTTTTCGCATTTGTTCCCATGTATTATGCCATTTTTTTCACCATTGCATAAATGAAATAGCCAAAATGTGCTTTTTACTGTTTTGTCTTGCTTTTCAAAAAAAAAGAATCAATTACAAAACAACAATTTAAAAATATTTACTTAACACTGGACATGTTTTAACATTCTAGCAGACAAGCACAATTGAACTTAATATTAATAAGTTAGTAAAATAATATTTTTGGCCATTTTTGAGACCCCCTTCTTGAATCAGGCATTTATTTGTTACTGTACAAATAAATGCAGCCTTTCTGAGCAGAAGATAATTATTTTAAAACGTTAGAAAATATTACATTTGTTATATTTAAATGTATTAATAGAGCTGTTGTAATTATCATAATTATTATTGTCTTATTATTTTATTTTACAGAACAACAGTAAAATTACAACACTAACATTCATGAATGTTGATAGAGTTCTTGCTTTTTCTCAGCTTTTATTTTGGCAGAAACCTGCAGGAAGATCTCAGTGCTTCTTTTTGTTGACAACAGCAGATTTATAAATGATGTTTGTCACACGTATCGCATTGTCACATGCCTTAAAAAAAAATCATAAAAATGTTACTGAGCAACTGGCGAGTAACACTGTTTCAGCGCAGATTTTCCTTGCGCTTTGAACCCTGGCTAACGAGCTCATGCAGCGCTGTTTGAACACATGCAATTCGTGCGTGTGTTAAGAAACATAACGTTCTGCAGTGTATTTAATTGTTTAAGGCCATTTCACGATTTCAATCATCATACAGTAACCAGCAACAACCACCCTCCTCTTCTCATCGAAGACATGCGCTGCAGCACTAAACAGTCTCTCGCTGTCGGTGCTTGTAATGATTTTTGTGTCTTTCTCTGACCGTTTTAAATATTTTCACACTGCAGACGTGTTAGCTGCATTAGCGCGCGCCTCTATTTCATCATACAATTTATTCAGTCTTTTCACTTATTCGACAATTTCGGTTGCCGAACATTCGGTGCATCCCTAGCTCATACTATCATAGTTATAGCAGTGTTATATATAATAGTTTTTATCTGATCTGAGGTCCAAATGATAATAAACAATATATAATACTAGCTCAACATTTTGGTTTTGCTTTCATCAGTTTTGATGTGAAAGGGCTTTAAGCTACATTACTTGCTCAATGAGTAACCTTCAGAATCTCAAAAGCAACAGCTCACCCAAAAATGAATATTATCTCATTTATACCATCCCAAAATTTGTGACTTGCTTTCTTCAGCTGAACACAATTTTTTTTATCCATCTCTGTGAGCTCATATAATGCAATTGAACAGGTGACAATGCGGAATCTCCAAAAAGTGAAAATACCCGTCATTACTGTAATTCATACGACCCATAATAATCCATAAACAACCATAGAGCATCAACATTCTGGTGCCTGCTTACTAGTGTTGGGCGATAAGCTCCATAGTCCTATCATCCTATCGTTAGCCTGTGATATTGCTGATACACGATATTATCAAGCTAATATTTTTAATTATTTACTAATTTCATAGCAAGAGAGTGAACCATGGTAAGGATAAAGGTATCCTAATGTTAGTGTAATTTATTAACTACACATTAGGCTATATCTTTTTAGTCAAGTAGCATGAATTTAAATTAAAAGATTAAATTAACACACTTAAAAGATTCAGATCATCAAACCAATTTTAATATTACACAAAGATAATGCAAGTAAATAGAGCCGGGAGAAACACCAGACGCCAGACCCTGACAAAAGGCTCGCCTCACATTTGCCAAAAAATGTCTTGATTAACCCCAAGACTTTTGGGCAAATATTCTGTGGACTGATGCGACAAAAGTTGAACTTTTTGGAAGGTGTGTGTCCCGTTACATCTGGTGTAAAACCAACAGAGCATTTCATAAAAAGAGCATCATAGCAACAGTCAAACATGGTGGTGGTAGTGTGATGGTCTGGGGCTGCTTTGCAGCTTCAGGACCTGGATGACTTGCCAGAATTGATGGAACCATGAATTCTGCTCTCTATCAGAAAATCCTGAAGGAGAATGTCCGGCCGTCAGTTTGTGA